CCTTATTTTAAAAAAAAAAAAAAAAAAAAAAAAGTAGTTTGAGCATTTTCCTCAAATGAAATTGTTCAGTGTTTATCATCTGTAAATATCAGTCTTGTCTTTTCTTTTCTTTTTTTTTTTGGTTTTTTGAGACAGGGTCTCACTATGTAGTTCAGACTGACCTGAAACTCACTGTTGTAGCCCAGGCCGATCTCGAACTCACAGCGATCCTCCTGCCTCAGCAGTGCTGGGATCACAGGCGTGCGCCACCACACCCGGCTAAATATCAGTGTTTTCTGGGGTGGCAGTTTAGATAGATCTTCATGAAACATTTACCTTGTGCCTACTAATTATTAGTTATATAATGGTTTTACAAATTATCCTTGTCACTACAGAACTAAAACATTTGATGGGGAAAGTATGGAGTTGAAAGAAATGTGTTTCACTTATAGATAGGCTAGGTAATTTTGGGACTGTCACACTTACTGGGCCTCATGGGGTGATAAAATACCTCTCTTGTAGACTTGTGAAGATTATTTAACGTAGTAGTAATTGTAAGCTTTCCATACATACTAAATTCTGGTTATATGTTAGGTATCATAAACACATAGCATTGTCTTTTAAATTCTCCTGAATATATTGGGAGGTATAAAAATGGTACACTTTGTTTTAATTGCTTATGGTTATTTTGAACTCTTTCAGGGCTTGGGCAAGACTCTTCAAACAATTTCTCTTCTTGGGTACATGAAGCACTATAGAAACATTCCTGGTCCTCATATGGTTTTGGTTCCTAAGTCTACATTACACAACTGGATGAGTGAATTCAAGAGATGGGTTCCAACTCTTAGATCTGTTTGTTTGATAGGAGATAAGGAACAAAGAGTAAGTTTGTAGTATTTCATTGTATTTTTGCCATTGAAGGAGTATGAATTCAGCATTGTGTTTGGGAGTAGCTAAAGGAAGGATAAAAGGGAAAGGCCTACATCAGCGATGTAACTTTTAGATACAGGTGCCCAAATTGTAATGCCAAACCTGCTTATTTATGACAGAGTGCCTACACTGTGATTAAAGCTGAATACTGAGGTTTTAGTTTAGAAAAAACAACCCATGCATCAACATCTTTTGTCTTAAAAATGGCACTGCCATGTTTGCCACCACTGGTCTATGTAAATACTAGTAATTTACAAATGTAGTGTAGTCTTGGAGGCATTAGAGACTATAGAAAGCTGTAAGAACAGTTTTCCCATTTGATAGGTGAGTGTGTGAAGTCACAGGCTGTGTTCTTGTAAGTTTTTTGTTTTTTTTTTTAAGAGAACTTGAATATATGAGGTGGTTGGAAATTTAAGGAGCCAGATTTTTAAGGTTAGTGTAGAGTGGTGATAGTCATAGAAGTTTGTGGACTGTTAATGACACTATCAAAGTAAGTTAAAATGTTGATTAACATCTTTTTGGGAAGAAGACATGAAAGTAATGACTATAAAAAGTACAGACTTTCAGCCAGGGGATTTACCTCAGTGGTACAGCTTCCTGCCTTGCAAGCACAAGGTTCTGAGTTCAATCCCTGGTACATACCCCCCAGCACCCCCCTTTAGATTTGCAAATCTAAAGAGTATAGACTTTAGATTTGGAAATCAGTTCATACATATTAAATGATTTTGTACTTTTTTCTCTTTATGTATTAGAGCTGAGCCTATATGTCTCTTTATTTACAGATGCTTTGAATATTTTAAATCATCAAATTGCCTTTTGTTTGGGGGCTCAATTATTTACCCAGTCTTTGTTTCAGTTCCCTTACCTGTAAAATGAGAATAACAGCAATTATTATTATTATTATTATTTTTTTTTTTTTGGTGCTGGGCATGGAATGGGTTCTTGTGCTTGCAAGGCAGGCAGCGGAACCACTGAGCTAAATCCCCGGCACAACAGCAATTGCTAATGCCTTTATGAACCTGAAAGGAATGAAATTGCTTATTGAAAACTGTTCTTCAGTCTTTTTATTTTATGCATTAGGTTACTTGTCATTAATAAATAGATTATACGATTGATTTCTGAATGATGTGCTTTTTTCTCTTGCCATATAGGCTGCTTTTGTCAGAGATGTTCTGTTACCAGGAGAATGGGATGTATGTGTAACGTCCTATGAAATGCTTATTAAAGAGAAGTCTGTGTTCAAAAAATTTAACTGGAGATACTTAGTTATAGATGAAGCGCACAGAATCAAAAATGAAAAATCTAAGGTAATATGATAGTTGGATGTGAAAATCATTTTGCCCTTATTTGAAAATGTGATCCATTTCAGAGCATTCTCATGGTAGAATTTGGTTCTTTGTTTCAGTTGTCAGAAATAGTAAGGGAATTCAAGACTACAAATCGACTATTACTAACTGGAACACCTCTTCAGAACAATTTGCACGAGCTCTGGTCACTTCTTAATTTTTTGTTGCCAGATGTGTTCAATTCAGCTGACGTAAGTTTTCTGATTTTTCCCCAATTAATGTTTAATGCTATACTTTTCTCTCTCTTTTTTTTGATACCAGAGATTGAACTCAGGACCTTGCACTTATAAGGCAGGTGTGGTGCCATTGAGCTAAATCCCTGCCCCGATGCTATACGTTTTTATAGGAGAATTGCCTTGCCTTTGTGCACAGCTTTTAATGATCATGGATTTTTATGCTATTGTAGGGTTAGCCTGATACTGCCTATTAAGTTGTTTGCATTCTGAGAATTTCTTTTGAGACTTTCAAGTTTCAGTCTCATTTCAAATCATTGTTTTCTCCATCTGGAATGGCACACATTCTCACGTCTATTTCGGCCTCATCCTGGTCTGACTTTGTTTGAGGAGTTGTAGTTGAGTGGTTATGTTTTCAGGACACTAAAAGCATTCCTGAATATATTTTTATAGACCTAACGTTACCTGTGTTTTGAGTTTTAGAGATGGCGTTCGCATGTGGTGAAATATGCCTAATCTCTTATATTATGGTCAAAAACTATGAGAATCTATAAAATCTTTTATAAGAGCTCCATATTAGTACACTTAGCAAATAGTTACAAAATGCTGTGCGTCCTGGTTGTGTTAATGATCATTCTAAAATAATAGAGAAAGTTATAAAATGATATTTAAACTCAAGGCAATTTAGTTCTGTTTTTATGTACTTTGATGTTTTAGAGATCATTTATTTTCCTACTACATTGACATTGTTTATTGATATGTATTAAAATTTTGTTTTTGTTACATCAACGAATTGTAAAATTACAGTCACTTAAAAACAAAGCAGTTATATTTATACCTTCAAGTTTCAATTTTGGTGAGTTACTTGATACTCCTCTGGAAACCTTGTATTTGAATATTCAAATTATTGCTGTAAAACTTGTTTTCTGAGCTGGGTGTGGTAGCTCATGCCTGTAATCCCTGCACACGGGAAACTGAGGCAGGAGACTTGCTGTGAGTTTAAGTCCAGCCTGGGCTACACAGCAATAACTGTCTCAAAAAGAAAAAAGACCACACTCTTGCTTTCTGGTTTTTTAAATTCTGTTATGAAACTGTTTTTGAGAAAAATGACATCATAGGGTATTGTTAATGTATTTTGTTTGTTAATCTAGGACTTTGATTCCTGGTTTGATACGAACAACTGCCTTGGGGATCAAAAGCTAGTGGAGAGGCTTCATATGGTAGGTATCATGCAGTAGTATTAAAGCCTGTCTTCAGTGGGAAAAGGGGATACTTTCCCGTTAAAAGCAAGCACAGTGGCTTTAGAATCAGGTCTGTTTTATCCTATAGTGGGGTGGTGAATGATGCGTGGTGGTGGCAGGATAGAGCCTAGGGTGGAATTTTACCTTACTGAAGGGCAAGAGTGATCTCTCAGCTCCCAGAAGGTACAGTGGGGGGAGACTCAACTCATGACTAACAAAACTGTTAAGCTTAGTTCAGTTTAAATTTCCTTGGAGAATCTAACATGTTTACTTCCTGAAATTTTTAGCAATCTACTTATTTTAAGCATAGTGATAGTGTATAGTGCTGTTTGTGAGCAGAGTTGGTATTATGGGTTCTTTCAATGTACACTTTTGTTCCTTGCTGTGAAAGTTGACCAGTAAAAGTAGTTAGAGAAATTTCTCTAATAGACCTTGCAGTGTGGATACTCCAGTAAGCAGGATAAAGTGAGACCTCATAATCCATGTCACAGAAAGCCCTTCATAACCTGTTGTGGGGACTTTCTACCTCTTAGCAATTTGGTCTGGATTGTGGTAGAGGTTTGGGGACAGAGTGAAGGTTCGAGGAGGTGAAGAGATGGTTACTCTGTGTCTTACAGTGTATTTAGTAGCACTCCTACTCACAGATGCTGCTCATAATGTGCCTCCAGGTGTGATGATAGAAATGTCCCCGAACATTACAAGTGTTCCTGGGAGGCATAATCGTGTCCTGCCCCCTATTGTAGGACCTAACCTTTCAAACATAGCCCATCTTCTATTTCCTTTCCTCATACAGAGAATTTAATACTGCTGACCCCACTGTCGGTTTTCTGTAAGCATTCTAATTCTAGTCTGTTTATTGTTTTTTGCTACATCTAGAATTTCCTTTCCTGAGTTCTTAAGTAATACGTGGCCCATGACTTGGTGATACCGCATTGTTCATTGAACATTCAGGCAGAGACTGGCCTAGGTACTTTCTGTGTTCCATTTTTTAATAATCTGAGTATTTTGGTACTTTAGAACATTGTGTAGGGTATTGAAATGATCCACAGGTGTTCTTGCTGGATTTTAAACACAAAGGTAGGGAAACATTTTATATTTATATATACCTTATACAGTACCTGACTTTAATGGATGTTTTCTTTCTATATACATTAATCATATGATGGTTTAAAATTCTATATATTGAGCTGCGGATTTAGCTCAGTGCTTCCACCGCCTGCCTTGCAAGTACAAGGTCCCAAGTTCGATCCCTGGTACAATACAAAAAAACCCCCCAAAATTCTGTATATTTAGATTTTTGTTAAATATTTGAAGGTGATCATTGAGGAACCTTTATTTCAATTTACTTTTATTTAGATTTACTTATTTCAGGGATTGTAGTGTTGAATGCAATCTTGGGGATGTGGGAAAGAGCAGAGGAACTTGATTACCATTCACCTTTTTCCTTCTTTGCTCTTGCTTTTCCTTTAATAAACAGTGAAGTACATGTAGATAAAACAGACTAAAACAACTCCCCACACAGCAGACTCAGCCGGTTCTGGCAAATAAGTTTATTTTGTTCAGAGTAGTTTGAAATCTTTTTATCAAGTGAGGGAGGTTCTGGTAGCTACTTCTATATTGTCCTGACCTTTGCTCTGAAATTCCCACTCTGTTGCCTATGGTTCTGCAATGAAAGGGAGATTTAGAAGTAAGTGGGGATATGCTTAGGAATAAGGTAACTTTTAAATCTCTCAGTTGTCTAATGCTTAAAATCCCCTCCCTAAATCCCACCTTAATAGCTGTCTATATTTAACAGTATACAATGTGTGAATTGGCTGGGTGATTTCTCTACCAATCCCCTTGGGTTCACATGACTGCATTTAGCTGGGCAGTTCTAGAAGACAGCTGGGGAGCTCAGAGTCTTCACCCTCTGCTGGTGGTCAGCTGCTGGCCACTGACCAGGGATGTACCTAAGATTGTGTACACAGTTAGGAGATACATGCATTCTTATCAGTTTTAAATTTGTTTTGTGATATAGTCGGGGCTTTCATAAAACAGGGAAAGTAGAACAAATGAAGGTACAGATAAAGTCTTTAGTTTTACAGGTATTTAAAACTGTTATATACAACAGCTGATGTTGTACAAACACGGTGAATAAAAGGAATGAGTTATAAGTGAGCATATGTTGAATAGTCCATGCGTACAAAATTAAAAATAACAGACAAAACTAATATGTGGTGTTTAAAAGTAAGAGTATTGCTTACCTTTGGGGAGGAATATGTAGAGACTGCTGGGAAGGGGGGCGTAATATGAGTTAAAGGGTGCTGTTTATCCAGGTGAGACTATGTGTAGGATGGCATGGGTACATGTATGTTAGGAAAATTGAGTTGTACAGTCATGATTTGTGTATGTTGTTATATCTTACATGTGTGGTCTGCTTCCACAAATTAAGATGATAGTAAATTTAAAGACTAACCCTTAAAAAGCTGTTAGTATGGACCAGACATTTCTTAAACAGTCTATGTGCAAGTGATTAGTTTTAAACCTGAAAGGTAGTGGATGTTGAAATAGTACATCTTTAAATATACCATTGGATTTTTTGTTGTTGTTGTTTGTTTCATATGAGTGTTGCAAATACATACCATGTATTGGATAAATAATGAATTTTTATGATTAGCCAGCTTTCAGGAACACAGAGGTAATAAGTTATATACTTGGAATGGAGAATCCTGAAATTCACTTGATGTTTTTAAGCAGAGAAATTTCTGTGTATTTAATAGATGATTTTAAGATTTGGTGATAACGTCAATATTATATGTAAGGCCATCTCTGTTTTTGTTCTTTCTAAGGTTTTGCGTCCATTTTTGCTTCGTCGAATTAAGGCTGATGTTGAAAAGAGTTTGCCTCCAAAGAAAGAAGTAAAAATCTATGTGGGTCTCAGCAAAATGCAAAGGGAATGGTATGTGTTTTGAGATTTTTTTTTAAAAAAAATGTATGTATATATGTGTGTGTGTGTGTGTGTGTATAAAATCACTATTCCCTCAATTTTGAAAGCATACTAAGTTCATGGTTTATAAATCCAAAGACTAATCTTGGGTTTAATTGAACAAGAATGTATATAAAAGCATGGGTTTTTAAAAAAGAAAACTAATGGTATAGGTGAATTAGTGGTTTATAAATAGTGGGTCATGGATTTGTGTGAGCCTCTGAAGGAGTTGTAGATTATAGAGATAAAACTTAGCTTCTTCCTTTTACGATACCTCGTGAAAACATTTAGATTTTCCCATTCTGAGCTGAAGTTTTATTTTAAGCTGATTAAATGTCCTTTGTTGAAGCAGTGGTGATAATATCTATAGTACATATTTTTAAGCATTTTTATAGGACAAAAAAATTGAAAACGTAAGTTGTTTTAGAAGTTTTATAGGTATTTTTTGGTTTTTTTTTTTTTTTTTTTTTGTGCAGGGGATCAGACTTGGGACCTTGTGATTGTGAGGCAGGTGGTGGTACTATTTTTTGGTAGCTACAAAGCATAACATGAATAAGTGTAAAATGTCTGTTGAAAAAGATTGTGGCCTCAGCGTAGATTGGTTGTGAGAGTTGTGAGAGTAGTGTTTTCAAAGGAAGGAAATGAACTAGAGCCCAGCTAATTCTTCACTGCTCTGCCAGCATATCTGAAGAACATTGAATTCCATGCTTCTGACACAGTATTTACAAGGAGTTGGAATGGTAGAAGAATTGAAAGTTTATTGGACATCATGTAGAAAACTGGGCATGTTGTCTAGGAAAGAGAAAGTCCATTGTGGAAGGTGGGCCATTTTCAGTGTGCTCCAAACTTCAGAAAGCTTTCATGGGGTAGCAGAGATTACAGGCTTGTCGGTGTCTCATTTACATATATGCATACATGTATGTATACTGTCTAAAATACACACCTACGACATGAGTCACTGCTAAAGAAAGACAGGTCCTAATATGAGTCAGAACTTTGATGTGGTCTGCCTTGAGGAGTATTTTGTGCCCACAGTTGAAGTGTTGAGGATAGAAGGCTCTAAGTTATTTTGTTCAAAGATTTAAAGTCTCACTGAAACTAGTATTTAAACAGATGACTTATTTTTGAAGGAAAATGTCCAAAATTTTTATATATATTTGTGGCTTTTTACTGTTTGGCCTAAGCCTATGGCTATAGCCTCACAGACCTCATATCTCCCCCCATATGTATTTATACTTCACATTTGTATCAGATTGTACTGTATTCATCTTTTTTTTGGTACTGGGGATCAAACTGGGGACCTTTTGAGGGAGGTGGCAGCACCACTGACCTAAATCCCCGGCCCTGTACTATATTCATCTTAATCTCACCATAATGCCTGTCTCTTAGGATTCTCTTTCCTTCTCAAGTGTTAACGGTACTTACCAAATGCTGCAGCAGCTACATGGCATGTGGCACGGTCACACATCACTTAATGAAGGAATAAGTTCTGAGAAAGGCATCTTAGATGACTTTGTAGTCATGCAGACAGAGTGTTCTTAACAAAACTAAGACAGCTAATAAAGCTCTCAGTGGGCTGACTTCATAGGACTGTTGTTTATATGTGACCTGTTGATCCAGATTGTCATGTGGAGCCTGACAGCAAATGAGCAGAGCACTTCTTTGGTTGTGAAATACTACAAACTAAAATTATATTTAAAAACTTACGTTTTAAGTTTCATATAATTGCTTCAAAATGTTTTATTATACCACTTTAATTCCACCAAAGGAAACTATTTTGTACTTTTAAAGTAATCATGTCCTCAGGGTCCAAGGCATATAAGTATGAACACTAGAACACTATGGGCGATTTTAAGCTCTAGGAAATAGGGATTATAGGTAGTAAATTCATGGTAACATGTTAGAAGTTGATGAGTTATTTCTTACAGGTATTTTGTGGTTGAAGCAGGCGAGGGGATTAAAATGTGATGAGACATGGCTTTGTCCAGGAACATTTGAGACCTCTTAAAATGTTTCTCTTTTCAATAGGTATACCCGGATATTAATGAAGGACATAGATATACTGAACTCTGCAGGGAAAATGGACAAGATGAGGTTACTGAACATCCTGATGCAGTTGAGGAAATGCTGTAATCATCCATACCTCTTTGATGGAGCTGAACCTGGTCCACCTTACACAACAGATATGCATCTAGTTACCAACAGTGGCAAAATGGTGGTGTTAGACAAGTTGCTCCCTAAATTGAAAGAACAAGGTATCTGTGTTACTGGTGTCAAGTCAAGAAGTAATGAAAAAATTCTAGTTTGTAAATGAACAGAGCATTACATTTTGAAGTGACTGGATTTGTTCTAAAGTTGAAGTGTTAAACACTAAAATAAGCATATATTCTTCATCCGATTTAAGGTTCCTCCTACCCCCTTATTTCAGGCCTTCAATCTCCTAGAAGGTGACAGTAAAAGTAGTCTAGAGCTGGGGGTTCAGCTTGGTGGCGCTGCACCCACCTTGCAAGTGCGAGGTCCTGAGTTCTATCCCTGGTACAAAAAAAAAAAAAAAAAATTGTGCAAGAGTGGGTAGGGGTGCAGAACAGTGCTTACCTAGCATGTAGGAGGCCCTCAATTCAATCCCAGCACCACACATAAAATGTAACAAACCATGTTGTAAGAATTGTCTGTAAGTTTAGTTTTTCTTTTTCCTTTTGTACCTTAAAAAAAAAATGTTTATATATACACACATGCATATATATTAAACTACAGGAAAATGGAAAAATCTTAGGCAGTTGAAGTATAAAATGCGTCTCAGGTTCTGAGACAGTCATTTCATAATCATCATTTTTCAGAGAGATTTCTTTGCTACAGTATATTCTGCAGAAGGCAGTCAGATAATTTGAATCATAGGTAGATAGATGAAAGACTTTCCAGTGCAGATTTGAGGCATATATTTAAGGTCCTTTTGCATTGTAATAGGCCTTTAGAACATTCTAGATAAACATTCTAGATAAGATTATTATGTTGTGTTGGGTGATGTACAAGAGGCGTTCTGGGATAGTGAAGGTTATTTTTTTTTAATTGAGGTGGTTGTTTTGTTTTGTTATGTTTTGTTGAGATGGTTCTCACTGTAGCCCAGGCTGGCCTCGAACTCTCAGCGATCCTCCTGCCTTGTTAGCCTTTGAGTGCTGGGATTATAGGCGTGTGCCACCATGCCCAGCCATGAAAATTATTTTTAAATGTATGTGCGGTAACAAGTTAATGATTGTCTTAGTTTTGGATTGGCAAGACTTCCCAAATCAGAGACAGATGGTCTATTTTGTTTACCTTAATGTACTACCCAAATGTTACCCTGTCTTTCTGTATTTCCTCTTCCCTCTTTTTCCTTTCTCTTCCACTATTATCTTTTCTTATTTGTGCTGTGAAAAGAAATGGAGAATGGCTGATTGGAATAATTAATGATACCGTTCCTTTTTTGTACCCAGATATGTATGTAACTTGGAGTTAAGGACTAATTTGTTAATGTTAAGTTTTAAAGCAAAACAGATTTCTCTACTTGTGAACCTTCTGGTAATGGACTGCTCTGTTCACCTACAGGTTCACGAGTACTTATCTTCAGTCAGATGACAAGAGTATTGGACATTTTAGAAGATTATTGCATGTGGAGAAATTATGAGTACTGCAGGTTGGATGGGCAGACACCCCATGATGAGAGACAAGTGAGTAAAATTCTGGGGAGGTATTTTAAAAAATCAGATAAAATTTTCTGACATATCTTCTTTAATCCACAGGATTCTATCAATGCATACAATGAACCAAACAGCACAAAGTTTGTTTTCATGTTAAGCACACGTGCTGGTGGTCTTGGCATCAATCTTGCTACTGCTGATGTAGTAATTTTATATGATTCAGATTGGAATCCCCAAGTAGACCTTCAGGCTATGGTAAGTGATAACATACATTCTGTGCCTAATAACACTTTTTAGTTAGGGGAAGCTAATTCTACATGTGTCAGTGACTTCTATATCATTTAAGTTTTCCTGAACTAATGGTGCAGTGAGGGCGTTTTGAAGGCCTCTTTCATATGAGGCTCAGGGTGTCCATCGCATGGCTCAGCACTGTGTAGTGCTCTGCTCTGTCTTCTGCATCCTGGTGGTAGGACAGGGAAGAGAGGTGAAAGTTTTGATAGGTCAGACCTGAAATGCTCTCACACTGCTGGGCCAGGACTGAAGTCTTGCCAGGCAATTGATAAAGGCAGGTGTAGTTGTGTCCTAGGAAGGAGAAATGGATTTGTTGAGCATCTAACCTCTCTGCACTTTATTTAATTCTGTTTGTTTGTTTGTTTCTGGTTTTTTGAGACAGGGTCTCACTATGTAGTTGAGACTGACCTGGAACTCACTATGTAGCCCAGGCTGGTCTCATACTCAACAGCGATCCTCCTGCCTCAGCCTCCTGAGTGCCAGGATTACAGGCATGCACCACCACACCTGGCCTCTCTCTGCACTTTAGATGCTTAAATTTTGTACCTGTATGTGGGGGGCTATCTGGTCAGATTGGAAGGATTATTATGTTGAAAAAATTAAGTCTGTGGATTCATGTGAAAACTTAATAGATTCCTAAGTTTGGTCCTGCTGATGGCTTGATCCGTGATGTTGGTGGCCATAAATCCAACTGTTAAGTCTTTGGCATTGGTCATTTTCATCCTGTACTCTTTAAGGGTAGCTGGGGAAAACTGAAGACTATTAGTAGTAAGGAGTGTGTTGAACTGGGCATGGTGGTACTCATCTGTAATCCTAGGACTCTAGGAGGCTGAGGCGGGAGGATTCTTGAGTACCAGGCTGAGCAACTTTTAGTGACTTAGCAAGATTCTGTCTCAAAATAAGGGGGAGGTGGGCTGGGAATGTAGTTCAGCATGAAGACCTTGGGTTCAGTTGACCATACTACACACACACACACACACACACACACACACACACACACAGGAGTCAAACAAAATGGCACGCAAATTAATTATACTCTTACTGTTTAGTAAATTGGTAATATTGAAGAATTTTTTTTTATATTGTGAAATTCTCTTTTTTGGTTTTTTTTAAATGTCACTTCTTTACCCAGCAATAGTGGAAATTAAAGTAGAATAAACATGAATTAAAGGTTAAGAAAGAAAGATATATTCAGTACTTTGAGTTGAACCCAGAGTCAGTGGCACTGAGCTGCATCCTCAGCATTTGTTTTTTTTTTCTACTTTGAGAAAAGGTCTTGCTAAATTGCCTGGGCTGGGTTTGTGTTAGGGTTTCTGCTTTAATCTTGCAGTGTGCTAGAATTACAGGGGTAATTAATTCACCATGTCTGGCTAAGAGAAAAGAGTTTTAAAAATACTTTTTAAAAAAATCATCAGTGTTTTGTTTGTGAGAGGACCAGTAAATTCAAACAGAAGTTAAATACCAGTGTAATGTGAGTTTATTCAATTACAGGTTTTTAATTACTTTTTAGTGTTTTGAGATAGGGTTTGCTATGTAGTCCAGCCTGTTCCTGAATTTACTGTGCAGTCCTGGTTGACCTTGAAATCTTGGTGATTCTTGGGCCTCAGCCTCCCAGGGGCTAGGGGGTGGGATTACAGGCAAGTGCTCCCATGTATGGTTCCGGTTGTATATTAGGAAAGCATTCTGTGCATTATTTGTATGATTTTTTTTTAATGTTTATTGGTACAATCTAGGTATACAATACAATTACTTTCATCATTGGGATTCTGTACCTTTACATAATAGGTCTTCATTCTCATTTTTTCCGCTTGTCCCTGCCCTCCCTTCACCCCCTCCTCCCCTCCCCATTTATAAACACTTTATTTCCATTTTTTCAGTTTCTCATATTTTTTTCCTCTCCCTTATTACCTTTCCCCCACCCTTCCCACTTTCCCTACACCTTTAGCCCTTTACTTCCTATTTCACATTATTAATTGTCTCATTAGGATCCTGTGTACTATTATAGTTTTTCACACCAAAGAAACTATTTGGTATTTCAGTTAAAGAAATCTCTGGATGAACATTAAAAATAGGGAATCCTAAAATAAAACTAAAGAGGAAAGTAAGAGAAAAGGCAATGATGCAACATTAAAATAATCCTTAATTCTGGAGATGAAAATGGTCCCTGAACATATTTAAATTGTTTCTTGCTCTTATAGTCTTATCTTATTCTTTTTTTCATTATTTAGAGAATACTTTATTAGTTTCTGTAATCAA